ATGTGTGGTCGTTGTATTTACACTGTCCAGCTGGTAAGTTTGGCCCTAACAATGCAGCTCAAATAGCAGCCAACAAAAGCTGACAAAATGTAAATAGCTTTTTTGCTATGTACGAAAATTGCAAAAATGTTTTTACTACCGTTTACAGCAATTGCTGAAAGCAATTTCCACATATATTGCTTATAATTCGCAAACAGTTAAAGCGCAAAATGCAGTAAATGGTGCGTGATAACTTTCAAGTGTTAGAAACACAAATATTAGTTGGTAGAATACAAATGTATTAAAAAAATGTAATTTGTGAATTTCTACTAAAAGCGAACAGCACTCAATTGCGTTTAACATGCATGTCAAACCTCATGGCAACGTTTCTTTTTTTGGTAGTGTATTTTAAGCTCATTTGTGGCACAGTGTTTCGCAGCCAGACAACAAAATCTACTGTGAATGGCCCCCTGGGTCATTTGAGGGGTGGGGTGGGTGGTTGTGTCGATTGGTAGCAACAAATTATTTATATATTTTTATTGCATGCTTCGTAAGCTTTGACTTTCGGTCGAGACTTGCTTTGTTTATCTGCGCAACAGTTCAATGACACATGAAATTATGATAGTTATTCGGTATTCGAGGTCGTAAATCTTGCAGCCACAATGTCTGCTTGATTTGTCAAACATAAAGCCAATTCTGCCAGCCGTCCATTAACTTTTATGAACAACTGTGTGTGTCATTTTTTTTTCAAAATAAATAAAAAGAAATTCAATTATTGCCCGGCCGGTCATGGGGCACAGTGCAAAGGTCTTACGGCTGCTTTGTTGCAACAGTCTGCCCATCGCCCTGACCTGAGGCTCAACTTTAACCCATTAAAACGATAACCCCCGAGTTTATGACGGGTCGTTGTTTACTTTTTAGACAGGCAGTAAAAGTTGCCATTAAGATGCCTAGCTTGCAGATATTTTTTAAATGCAAACATGTGTCTCTGCTCGTAAGGGCATAGAGAAATAAAAATATTTGAATATAAAGATGAGATTAGATTCGATTAGATTGAGCACAAGCTGATGAAGAGCCCAGGTAAATAGATCTACATGCATTAGACATTCTTTCTTTATTTCCATAGGCAATTTTTATATCAATCTATAATTCGTATCCATCATAAATATTTGGGCATTAATTGTTTTTGTTGGACAATCGCGTCGCGTGCCTGTAAAATTTGCACGCAAGAGTCGCGACACGCATCATTAACCAAATATTGAATTTTGCAACTTGCCACACCCTCTCGCCCCTCTCTCGCCATTCTCGCCCCTTACTCAATCCGAATGCCATTGTAAGTCCATACAGCCAATCAAACACGGCCAGGCCAAGGACCAGGTTAATGGGCAAGGGTTTAGGGCCTTTCGCGATGCTATGTGGCATGAGTAACGGATGCGCATCAATAAGCCGCATAGCTTGGCGTCCCGGTCACGGTTGTCCCGCCCTCCATCCATGCCCCCACCCCCTCCCTCCCTCTCTCTCCGGCTGCATGTGCATGTCAAAGTAATGGACGAAAACGAAATTCACGCATACGCAGGAACCGCGCCAACAGGCGGCCAAACCGGGCAAAACCAGGCAAACCACCCAACCACCAGCAAGCAGCGGTTGTTGAGCTGCCGGCCTGTCAGATTGTAGGTATAAGGAGTGCGGGGGAGTGGAGTGGAGACGTGGAGTGCGTGTGGGAGTGTGGGCTGTGGGATGTCTGCGGTGTCTGCAGAGTGAATGACTTTTGCGCCTGGCATTTAAATGAAGGCGCAGCTTAAATGGATTTTGGTCCAATGAAAAGATGCCCGAGGGGCAAAAGTACACATGCATATACACACACACACACACATGTGTGCGTGTGTGTGTGGACTATGGTTATCTGCTTAATGCCTTGAGCCCTGCTCGAATGAAACGCCAGATGTGTTGCCCTCTGTCAGCTGTGGCAGCCCATTTAAATTCGCAAATAAATTTGAAATTTCATTTCAATTGCATTTTACGTAAATTTCACCTGTCCTTCACCTGATTTTCGTCTGCTTTTATTGTGATTTTCCTTAGCTCTGCGCACAGCCACTAATTAGGCCTTGCATTTGTCGCGCTCGGCATGCGACTAATTGAGTTGTGCCTCGCAAACGTGCCCCAAAACAGACCTTGTTGCACTTAGTCTAGAGTACTCAACTTTACTCTGCCCCCCCCCCCCCCCCTCCCCCCTCCCTCGCTTTCGCTTTGCCACGCGTCTCTGTCTAGCATTAATGAAAAATACTTTTTGTAATTAAATAATAATTTGGTGCCTTGTCTTCTTATGGTCATGCCCAGATAGCGAATTCCTCCACCCTGCTTCTTGCCACAAGCTCCGGCTGCGGCTGCTGCTGCTGGGTTCACAGGCACGGCCGCGCCCACATACATATATTTATATATATATATATATATGTATATATGGGTGTCTCTGACTGCGCATTGTTTTTGCTGTCTCAGCTTTTCGCATATTTTGTGTGACCAGAAAAGTCAGTCAATTTTTATAAGCAATAAAGCGGGCACTGGTGTGGGCAGAGGTGCGACCATGCTTGAATTCTACAAGACGAAACTTTAAAAAACTCTCTTTTAGAGCAATAAAAAGGGTTTTTAAGAGAACTATCCAACTTTAAGGCTTTCAATTTAAATCATTTCTGAAATTCAATGCCTAAATTCTGTACAAAAAATCAAATATACTATGTATTGTAAGTCAAATATTCGAAGTTTAAGTTTCTTATATTCTGGTTTTCGTTGCTACGTTTTTTATACCCTAAACTTATTGAAAATGTGTAAAAAGGGTAGATTGTTTATGCGCAAATGTATGTAACAGGCAGAGGGAATCATCTCCGACCCCCATAAGTATATAAATTCTTTGTCAGCATCAAGAGACTTGGTCAACGTTGTTTCCGATCATCAATAACTTGCCTCATTTTCAAGCAATCGATAAAAATCGTTATCGGAATGCTATTCTATATATTCTATTCTATATATCTTGATATATTATATTCAGATCATGTATATTACCCATTAAATATGTTGAAAAAGTATTAAGTCCCCGCTCGTGTTGATAGAGGGTAACCCCTAGTCGGTTACACCCGACTCTTACTTGTCTTTGTGTTTTATTTGAAAATGCAATAGAAAATGTTGCATTCCCCAGTTTTATTGTATTGCCAGCTTTACTTGAAACTAGGACACATACCCTAACTCCACATCTAGCTCCGAAATAACTCCCCTTATCGGATGTTGCATGGCTGCACTTTGGTTTGTCAGCAAATTCGTAGTTGGGCAAAAAAACGAAGAGTATTCTCCATAGAATTTTGTTAGCTATTGTTAGTTGTATATTTCAAGTGAATTTTTGTGCTATTTGTAAGTATCTGGTTGGTGTCTGCTCGGCTCTGTATACCCTGTAATTTCCTAAAATCGATAAATATATATTTTCAGCTGAGAACTTAGAATTCGTTTAGCTTAAACAATCCTATTTATTTGTTAACCATATTCAACGGCTGGCTATAAATACAGAAGCTCTTCAGGTTTTTATTTTGTCTTACCTCAATAGTTAGCTGAGTACAGGGTATATGCTCGTCAATCCCCATTCAACTAGCGCACTCTAACGTGCTTTTGGTTACAGTCGGAGGTGTGAGGAAAGCAAATGTCAGAGGAATAAACTTCGCACGTTCTGGCTACCGACTCCCAGCTCCATTGGACACCTAAATTCCATTTGTTCTCGTCTGTGGCTATCAAATGTTGTGTCTCCTGCCGTGTCCGTGTCCGTGTCCGTTTCCAGTCGCCTCTATTTGCATATCGTAGACACTTGGCTCGGGCTCTGGCATGAATTTAGTTGCATTTTATTTGGGTCAGTGGCAGGGAAAAATACGCAGCAACTGGCAGAAGGCGTACAAAGTAAATATTTGCGGTGCCAGTTGATTGGCCAAAGTGCAGTTAAGTGCAACAAAATGTTGCAAGATGCAGGCCGAATAACAGCAAATGCTACATTGAATGTATAAATCAATTATGGCAATTATTTCGACGTGAAAACAAACTGAAATCCGGCTGTGCAAACAGCAAACACAGCAATAATTGAATTTAACTTAAGCTGCACCCCCTCAACTACCGCCCTTTCCCTTTGCCTTGCCCTGCTATTTACAATTCTATCAAAAACAACCGCAATGCGTGCAACACACAACACACAAACACGCACACAAACACATAAATCACGTATACGCAATGTGCGACGCACTCAACAAATTTAATTGTTGTTGTTCAATGGCAGGCAAAATTTGCCCTCTGCCCGCGGGACCCTTTCGGCAGGCGAATGATAAATCGAATGCGATTGCTTTGGCATAACTCATGCGATTAGAAACTCTGTGCTATTAGCGAGCAAAGCCAATTTCAGCTCTATTAAGCCACAATGACACCAGTCGAAAGTGCTTTACTTGGGCTATGAGCTTTATGTGCCTTTTACTATATTGTATTTTAGGAATAAGCGCCTTTCGAAGCTTAGATGAGCCTTTAAGGAGCTTATAAGCTATGCAAATAAACGTTCCTTAAAAATAAAAAGAATTTAATAATAGAGGCAATAATATAAAATAATTAAACTTATGTATGATATTAATATGATAAACAACAGCAAACGTTAAAGCTCTCAGGTGCTTTTAACGCACTTTGATAATTAAAGTTTTCAAGAGCTTTTTGCTTAAGTGTCGATTAATGCTACGACTGGCTTGATTAAGTCACGCCTTGAGCTTTGCATATTGCAAAGCTTTATTTAAGCTTTAATGTGCTTCGAAAGCTTAAAGCCCTTTTTGCTTGCATCTTGTCAACTTATCACAAAGCGCAGCCGTAAGCTCTATCACAACCGCTCACTGCCTCCATTGCGAGCCATTTTAAGATTTAAATAAAATGTAATGTAATGTTCAGATTAAAGTTTATGATATTTGCCAGTTGCAGATAAGTGAAACCTATTTGTAATGCTGCTAATGTATTTGCAGGAAGCTTATCGCCGCTGGGTCTGCAGCACGCTGGTGCCGTATTTCGCTGAGCCACAGGATGTGGATGCAACGCCAAAGCCAGCGCCAGTCGATAACCTCGCCACGCGAGTGGCAGCTGCAAAGGCAAAGGCAGCGGGCAAAAGTAAACGTGCGGCGCGAAATGCAGGAGGAGGAGCTGCTGCTGCTGCTTCTTCGGCTGCTGCTGCTGGCACGGGCGGCATCAAACATAAATCTCAGAAATTAATCAGCAATAACAATAAATCAAAGAACGGCAATAACATGAACGAGCGTCAGATTAATCAACAGCATGACGAGGACAATGAGCCCAACGATGAGCCGCAAAACAAAATTTCAAATGCCAATGTGGCTCGTTCGTTCTACGATGTCGTTGGCATTGGCCAGCACCAGACCCAGGCCCAGACCCAGACCCGTGCCCAGACCCAGTTCCAATACCAGTTCCAGTTCCAGTTTCACAACAACAACAGCAACAGCCGAGCCGCCCTTGCTCAGCGTCAAAAAGAGGAAGACGAACAATTCAATAATTTCATATCGACTGCCAATAATGCGGATCCCAGCGCAGCGGATCCAGTGATATCAAAACTACAAAAGAGGTTACTAAATTAATTCAATTTACTTTTAAAACTTAAACTAATTTCCTGTCCCGTTCGCAGATCAACACGCAAGGCAGAGTTCCGTAAGCGCCGCCGCATTCGACCCTGCCTGAGCGTGTGCCAAACCGTGGAACAAAAGTGCCCCTATCTGCTGCCCGCCGACCGCGCCCCCGCGCTGCCCACCCAATATGCCGGCGAGCCGACATTTGTATGCCTAGGTAAATCATTTTCAATATATATTATAGAATTGTAGAGTTCATATACTTTTCTCATGGTGTAACACGTAGAAAGAGACGTCCCCGAACCCATAGAGTATACATATATTCTAGATATGCATCAACAGCCCAGTTGATATAACCATGCCTGTCTGTCCGTTCATCCCTCTGCCCGTCTGTCCTTGCGTCCGTCCATCCGTCTGTCTATTTCTATGCGAACTAGTCTCTCAGTGTTAAAGCTATCATCTTGTAACTTTGTCTAGTCCGGATTTGTGTATTTTTCCGTCTTTTTAATGCAAGCATATATCAGAAACGTCCGAAGCGCACCTCTATATCATATATCTGCCCTAGGAACGATCGGAGCAACATAACGACCTAACTTGCCCCATATTCTCTCTACATATATGCCAAATCTTATCAACTCAACTCAACTTATTGGACCTCTATATCATAATACGAGAGCTGTCATAGGAACAGTCGTTCGAAGAGTAGATTCTTGTAAGGCAAACTATACTGTTTTCCAGGATATTCTCATCAGCATTTACAAGCTTAACTACACCTACATAATCTGCAACTAGAAGGGTATTAACTCTTCGGCAAGCCGAATACCTAGTTTCTTCTCATTTAATATACATATGGCTTTGGTTATTGCTACAGTGGAAACACGCTAACTGCAACAACTCGCTTTTAGAGTTGATTTTATTTAACATACATTTTCCAATTGCTGCTTCTTCTTTTTATGCCAAAAAAGTGCAAAGCATAAATACAATATATATTTGACATCTCTTGAGTTCAATATTAATATTATTTATTAAGTACTCAGTTCTTTTCTTTGAGCAAGGTTTTCTAACTGAGTGTATATACAAAATATTTATTTTAAGAGAGTGCGTTTAAGTTTACTTTATATTTAATTTTATATAAGTTACAAGTTTATTTTGCAATTTAAGTAAAGGAAGCCTTATGAAAATATCCAATTGGAATTATTAAATTCAGGACGTGTTTTTTACTTAAACAAGTTTTAGAGCATTTAAATCATTTTCACTTCTAGAAGTTTGTTTAAATTGTTTGCATTTGTTATTTATTTATTTATTTATTTTTAAATATTGAAAATTTGTAAATGAGGAATTTGTGCTTAATGATTTATTCAGCAAATTGTACATATTAAATTATTTGAATTGTTTTATGCAAGCTTTTGTATTTCATCTGCCGAGATTATTTGTTTTACTTTTGTTTTCTTTACTAAATGTGTTAATGTAAATGTAAATGTAAACATTAGAGTTTAAGCACAAGGCGTGGATGAATTGGAGCTTAGATTTTCATGCGCTCCACATTTGCTATCCGCAATTGCAGATCAAAACATACCCGAGACTGGCGAGCAGCTGAAGAAATCCAGCTACGGCCCCAACGACTGCTGCTACAGCTACTGCAACGGACCCACTGAGGGCATCTGCACCGTCTGCCAGGATTTTGCGCCCACCTCCGATCCCAGCAGCAGCAACAACAACACAAACAACAGCTCGAGCGGCCGCCGCGTACACAACATAACCCTGACGCTGAACTCGCCGCCGGGGGAGCATGCGCGTGCGGCCAGCGTCTCGCTGGCGCTGCGGAACGTCTCGTATGCGCTGGAGCCCGGCGCAGAGCTGCTGGAGCGGCTGCCCTATTATGCCCACTACGACGGCCTGTACTACTATGACGACGATGGGGGCAGCGATATGCCGGAGCGGCCGCTGTCCGGCGGCTGCGCGGCGGTGCCGTCGGTGACCACGCGCTGTACGATACCCTATTATGCATCCGGTGTGGCGCCGTCGCCGCCGACGCAGCTGCTCGTCTGGCTGAGCGCCCTGCTCGGTCTGCTGAGCAGCTGTGGGGCGGCGCGACAGCGATGCGGGCGTGCCCGCGGCACGGCGCGCGTCGACCAGTGTCCGGGAAGCTGCCACGAGCTGTTGGCCACAGCGACTCCCAGCCCGGAGGCGCAGCAAGACGGCGCCAGCAGCGTTCGGCGCTGGCGCGACGGCAGCGGAAACGGAAGTGCACGCTTCGCTGCCAGCGACAGGCACCAATGGTCCTGGCCGTCCGCTTGGGTGTGGCCGTGGGCGTGGGCATGGTCATGGCTATGGGCGTGGCCATTGAATATGTGCAGAAAAGTGCGTTACTTTCGCTGCAGCAGCAGAAGCAAATTAAAATGCAAGCGAGAGTTGAGTCGAGTCAGGTCGCGGGATCGTAGTCGTATAATTAACTATAGAGACTTGCAGCAGCTACAAATACGAATCAAGTGCAGCGATAGGAATAGGTCTGATAGGAATTACCGTTATGTCTACTACTACAACTACAACATAAACGATTGGTGGCGAAGATGGAAGTGGTTCGGCGGAAATGCGGCAACCATCAACTCAAATGGCGCCTTATAGTGCATGCAATAAGTATGCGGCCACACACACACACACACACACACACACACAGAGAAACACACACAAATTGCGGATTTTCACAGAGATTTGCAGTTTACAAAACAAAAAAAGAAAAACAAAAAGAAAATGTCATTAATTGTATTTCGTACTCTAGAAAATTACTCGTAATGCTAGCTAATTAAAAACGAAAACAAAAACAAAAAAAAAAGTTGAGTGTAAAAACCCAAAAATAAATTAACAAAAAAAAAAAAACAAATAACAAAGAAATTGCAGATCGTTTCCCCTGCCAATTTGTTTTGGAGCCAAAGCCTTTAAAAAGGAAACGTGACGAAAATTTAAATGAGACATGGAAAATGTGAAAATTGAAATGGAAACGGAAACGGAAACGCAAAGGAGATGCAAAGAAAACTCTTTAAATATTTATGGTCCTCTTTCAAATGAAATATATAAAGAAAAAAACACAATGATTAAATAACAAATGAAACCAAATATGAAAGTAAATAAATTATAAATCTCTATTGAAAAAAAAAAAAAAACTAAACAAAACAAAAACAACAAATAGCATATTTTATTACAACTAGAAACAAAGAATATTAATATTTAATTAAACAAAAAACAACTGCCACAAAAATAGGTTTTTTAGGTAAACATTAAACGAAAATAAACAACAACAACAACAAAGAATTAAAAAAAAAACCCAAAAAATCACAAACAAAATCATTTAACAAAAGTATATGAGAATAAAAAACCAAAAACCAAAAAAAAAAAAGGAATACATTAATATACATAGTTATAAACGTAAATAAAGGCGGATTAACAAAAATATAATAAAACAAAAAAGAAAAGAGAACATTTTAGGTTAGCTAAGTATAACGAAAAAAACACCAACAACAACAACAAAACACACACGAACACGAAATGAAATTTACAACTAGACTAAAAAAATTTCAATAAAAAAGAAAAACGACTCGCTGCAAACCAAATAAAATAAATAATTAGCAGAAAATTCCCTAATAAAAACTTAACAACAAATCCGATAAACAAACAGAAACACAAACACACTCACACACATACACACACACACACACACACACACACAAACAAATTGACATATAGACCGCTTATCAAATCAATTTCAAAAGTAAAAAAACAAATATGAAACATGAAAAAACTTTACTTATTGCATAAATAAGTTTAAAAAAAAAAAAGAAAGAAAACAAAACAAAAGAAAAACAAATCAAATATGATAACATAGTCAAGAGAAGAAATGATATAGCGATTTGAAGGATGTTATAGAGAATTTTGCGGAGGCAGCAGAAGAACAAGAAACAACCAAAAATGTGTCTAAGATTGTCTTTATTTAGTTTTTAAACATGAACTTTGTATAACCAACAAATGAAAAACCCAAAAAACCAAAAAACCAAAAAGCCAAAAAAGAAAAAAAAACAATATAAAGCGCACAGTAAACTTAAACTTTAAGGTTCATAAGCCACATAGAAGCGAGAGAAGCGAAGGTGGAAAGAGAGAAGCGCAAAAGAAACAGCATATGCATACGATTATAAACGAGTTTAGGGCATCTAAAGTATAGCCTAGGTATACACAGATATAACAGATTGGAATGAATATATACGAAGAAGATGATAAGAAGAAGAAGCAGCAGTAACAACAACAACATACCTACTATATAAATAGTGCATACAAATAATAATAATAATAATTTTTGTAATAAAGTTAACTCTATGTAGCGTACATAAACATAAACGTAAAGAACATAAATATATATATTATATATATTTATAATTAACAATTTATCGTACATACTTGCAAAAGAAAAACAAAAAAAAAAAACAATTGAACCTATAGGCAAACAATAAAAAAAAAACAAAGAAGAAAAGTAATGAAAGAAGAAAAAATTATGATATACTTATAAGTATTATATGAGAATAATTAGTTACTAAATGAAACAAAACATAGATGTACTTGGTATTAACTAATTGCCTATTGAATTAAGCATGTACCACCAAAAACATGACTCGACTCGACTCTCAACTTTTAAACACTATCTTCACCAAAGAAAAAACCAAAAAATCAAAAAAAAAAAATAAAAAAAAGAAAAATAAAAAAAACTTTAAGAACACCCCACTTAACTTAACTCACCAATCTGTCAGTCACTTTTCACCATTTCAAAGTTCTCGAAACACTCGAAAGTTTTGCGGCACTACGCTTTTTGGGTACTACTTGATTCTTTGCAGCTATCGGTTATTGTTTTCTTTAAGGTTACGGCACTGCAGGCAGTACTGGGAACCCAATTTCAAAAGCTTTCTTCAATTAACATACTTTGCCCAACTGACGCATTACTTTAATTAATCAAAGCAAAAGTGTCTCTGTTCTTAAATAATACTAATTAACAAAAGGTGGAACAGCACATTTAGTGTGGTATGTTAAGTGTTGTTGTAGATAACAAAATGTAAAAGTAGTTACCAAAAAAGAAAAAATAAATAAATTAAAACAGTTGCTGGTAGCACTGGCTGACAGATTAAGTAACAGATTAATCTGTTAAAGCAGCTATTTTCCAAATTGATTTTCAACACTTTCAATTTTTGCTTTTAACAGAGAGTTTTTATTTGAAAGCACATTAAAGCTCACTCTAAGCTTAAAGCTCTAAAGCTTTACTTCTTCATTTATCATATTCTACTAACAATGTTCTTCTCACTTGCCCACTTTCAGCTAGTGTCATTGTGTCATAAATTAATTCGAAACTTCATTTTGAAACTTAAGCTTCTCGTTCCCACCTGAGCTAAACAGCTTTCACTTCTGATTTCCATATCAATTACTCAATACAACTTTTAAAGAAAGGACACCTGCCTTTGTAAATACACACACACACACACACACACACACACACGCACGCACACATCTCTCTCACAGACACACATCTCACACACCGTTGAAGAAAAGTATGCAATGAATTTCAATTTTCTATATCTCTGTTCTTGAATATAATTTATGAGAATTCTTTGGTATTTCTGTTGTTTGCCCGACAAATTGAGATATGAACCCCAACTTGTAATCGTACTCGATTTACGTGTGTGCAATTCAAATTAAATGAGATGAAAATTAACAAACACACGTTTTGGGGGAGGGGGCAAGAATAAAATGAAAATGACAACAGCAACAACAACAACAAAAAAACGAAAACAAAAAAGAAAAAAATGAAAACATTTCAAAGCGAGAGCCGCTGGCACAAATTGCGCGCATATGCAAATTGTTATGAATTATTGTGTACTTTTGTAAAACTTTTTGATATATATAATATAGTTAACATGAATAGATGCCTAAATAATAAATTAAATGTTAATTTATTTAAATGTAAACAATAAACGAAAAGAAACGAGAAGCGAGTAACGAGAAGCGAGAAGCGATTTGCGAGAGAAACGCTGGCGAAATTGCGTCGATTTTGAATGCGTCTCACGATCGGATCCAGCGAGAGATCCGCAAAATGAAATATCTAACTAGTTGAAATTGGTAATACGATGATAATGTTATTAACGATAATACGAATGTGTAAGTCTGGAATGCGGATCGAGCATGAAATTACTTTACATCAACATTTACATTCAAGTTTTGTGTACAAAATGTAAGAAGCAAAAAACCATTGAGCAAATGCCATTGCATCATTTTTGGACATTTCATACTCGTAATGTTAAAGGTCATTTCAATGAATGCGAATACTTGAAACCCAAACCCAAACCCAAACCCGAACCCAAAGCCAAACCAAAATCGAAATCAATACAATTAATTAGCACGAAAACTAAAATATTATAAATGATAAAAACTTTAAACAAAATACAAAATGATAAGAATATACAATAATTTTGTAAACGAGAAGCAGCTGCTAAAAACAACAACAACAACAACAACAAAGCAGCTGAGCGAAGGCAAAACGAAAGAAACAAAACAAAAAACAAAAAAAAAATGTTATGGCAAGGTAGCAATTATTTTTTACAAAAACTAAAAACCCACAAAAAAAATATATATATATAAACTATTAAATGTATGTAAAATGAAAAGAAAGAAAAAAATTAAAAAGATGACTATGAGAAGGAACATTTTAACATGAGGGAAATGCAAAAACCAAAATTCTTTTTAGGCCACAAAACACTCGAATAATAATAATTTATGTGCCAAGCGAGAAATTATTCAAATGCAACGCATTTGATATCATCAACAAAGCGCGAGCACAGCAAAAACAAAAAACAAGAAAAAAAACTATAAATAATTAAAAACAACAAAAAACTCAAGTCAAATTTAATTAAAATTAAAAACCAAAAAAAAAAAAAAACAAAAACAAATTTAAAGCGAATGCCTGAAGTCTATTTCAAATACTCTTAACAAAAGTATTTCAAATGTGTCTCAAGCCCACATCCACAGTCCACTACACCCTCCCCCCCTCCCCCCAACCCCCCAACCCTCCAAGCTCAAACACACTCTCCAGATGCCAACAAACCGTCAAGTTTGTTAGTTAATTAATAAATGAGAAATTATTATGAAAGCAGCTAAAAACTTTAAAAACTCAAACTGAAATCTTCTGTACTTGTTAATTAACAACAACAAAGCCACATAGAGAATAAAGCCAAAAAAAAAAAAAAAAACAAAGCAAAACAAATTTAAATTATAAAAAGAAACTTTAACTATAAACCGAATTAAAAACCAAAATAAAAATAAAAAAAAACTGAGCAGCCTAAGAGTAAACTTTTCGTAAAGAATCCCCCTACAAAAACACAACACTTGGCCACGGCCGATGCGATTTATTTAAGTCTAAAAACAAATAACGAAAACCCACATGGAAATCGTATCTAAAATCGGGAAATAATGTAATAGTAATACTATGTAATAATAATACTAATAATATGGCATATAAATGAGAAAGAAAAAAACAAAGGAAACACAACATAATTATGGTAATTGTAAAATAATTAAACAATGACGTAAAAGTGAAAAACAAGTGAAAATAATAAAAATAAATTGTTGTTATTGAATGTATTTGTATAGAAAATTATTATGATTATGACGATGAATAATAAATGATTACAAATAATAATTATTGTTCAAAAAACCAAAAAAAAAAAAAAAAAAAAAACACAAAAATACAAAACAAAACAAAAAAAAACTAAATAATATATATACATATATATATGAGAATAATGTCTCTGGCTTGATTTTATTTGACTTTGGCATCAAGCAGGTCGCACCAGTAGCAGACGAGCTTAACAAAACCATCTGCTGAAGAGCTTTGCAAGCACATTAAAGCTTTGGTGTGCTTTGAAGCAGCTTTAATAAAGCTGCCAACAGCTTGTAGTTAAAGGAACTTTCATGGTTTTAACAGTTAAACTGTTTAACATGTCAAAGGAGCTTTGCAAGCTCATTAAAGCTTTGGCTTCAACTAAGCTTAAACTGTAGTTAAGTGCTAAGTGCATTGCTAGAGCACACTTTTAGTCGTTTAAGAGCTTTTCAAGCTAATTTTAATGAGCTTTTCATTGCTGAAAGCTTTACTGAACAACTTTGACTTGTCTACTTTCAGCACTCGGCAAAATATTAATGGACTTTCATTGCTGCTCTTAACCAGAGGATTAATACGGTAACTAAGCTCTGCTTTCAGCTGACGTCATTGTGCCACATGCCCCGTTGCACGCTGACCCGATTGGCAGCAACGCAAAAAGCGCAAAAATACGCGATTCGTTTGCGTATCAAAACTTTTACTTTTTTTTTCTTCTATATCCTTAATACCAATTTCAGTGGGCCAACAACAAGAAAGCACAAGCGGACCGTAATTAGACAGGCATTGCAGGGCGACAGAGCAGGCATCAGCAGAGTCGAGGCAAACGGTTCTGGAGTCTCGCTCGGCTGCTGGTTGCTGGTTGCTGGTTGCCGAAGCAGCTGCCGAAGTGGCCGCTGTGTGGCAGGTGTCGCTGTGGCAGCAACTGAGCCGCAGATTCAGATACGTTTCGACACGCGAAAGGGAAAGTTCGTGCAACGGACGCGCAGCCGGCAAAGACGTTCACTTGCCACTTGCCAATTGCCACCTGCCGCAGTTGCGTGCCTCGCATCCTCGAGTGCGTGTGTGTTGTTGTTGTTGGATTGTGTGTAAAACTGTCCAAATATTTGCATAGGCCACACGGATAAACGTGCACGTTAACGAGCTGACGGTCAACTGGGCCTAAAAAGTTTTTACAGCTGGCGCTGCGGTTAATTTTGCGCTTTGTTTTGCCCACTTTTGGGCGTCCGACAGTGGGCGGGTGGGGGCGTGCTGGGTTGGTGGGGTGATAGGGCTACCAAATACATGTGCAAAAACTAATTACAAATAACACGACTCGGTTTTAGCCAGCTGCTAGCTGTGTGCATGTTAATTATGGCCAACAGCAGCAAATCCAAATGCCGCGTGAAAACAATCCGGCCCGCCTTCTGCTGCCCCTTGAATAAACGTGGAAACACGGTTTTTTACTTAATTTCAAAATGTTTTCAACTGTCCGTTACAATCCACGAACAAAATCTAATTAATATTGACACTGGCCATGTGAATGCGAATGCGGCTGTGTATTGTTCGCTTTAATCAGACCTTTATTCCTGTGTGCCTAAACAATTCACATTTTGTGAACTCTCTTATTTGAGTTCATTTCATGTGTTAGAGCATCCAAATGCTGTATATTTGCAAAGTCAATTATTTCATATATTTCTATTGTTAGCATATCCGCAATACATCCAATGCAAAGAAGTCTTTCAAAAGTGCAAATTAATGAATGATTAGAGAGAACTTTATATTAAGAATATAAGTTTTGGATATGGAATATGTGCACAAACCATTATACATTATAAATATAAGTATCTATAATATAATGCTTTCCATATTCAATATTTATATACCTTCACGACAAAATATTTTTACTGACATTTAGTATTAACTATTTCAAAAACCTCCCGCTTCTATCATAAGCATTCTACTGCGGTCCGCTCTAGAAGCGCAAGACCTTATCTTCAGTCCGATGCTATAACCATTTGAGAATTATAATTATAATTGTAGCAGCTACACAGATAATCTGCTCACTCTAGGTGTTTATAGTCCAGTATTGATCCCCAACCTTTAGGTTAAAATTTATTCAAATCTTTTAAAGACTCAAGACTTGCATAAAAAAGTTATGCGCTTTTCAGGCTTTGCCTAAAATTTAACTGCCAGTTATATCTTAAATATAAAAGAATTTTCAAAATAAATTTAGGCATTTTTCTAGACTGAGACATCAAATTGCCTGCAAATTTTACCCACAGAAGTCTGCATTTAACTTAATTAGCTCAGAGTGTAAATGACCAAATGCTCAAAAAGTTAGCTAAACGTTTATCAATAACGCGTATGTTTAAATATTTAATCAATGTGCAATTCCAAGCTGAGAGCCTTTAAAAATATGTCCGCAGCTGGCAGTTGGTGTTGAATTCCCAAGCAGCTACAAATTGGACTTAAAACGTGACCAAAAGCAATTCCTCGCAAATACAAATACAAATAAAATGTTTTAAAGATGTTGCAAGTAAAGAAACAACGTGCAACGCGGCCGGCGGCAACGTTAATCAGCGCCCTGCTGCTGGGCGCATTAATAATTCAAGGCGTGGCAGCGTCAACGGCAGCGACGTCGACGGCGGGCGAAGCTCAGCGAGTGCACGAACCAAATGTTGCGGCAGCGCGCGCTGCTGTGGTGAATAGGGCGTCAGTCGAGACGCGCAATGGTAGGTATTGGTACTGCATGCAAGTGTGGGCGGGTTTGCGCGTGGGGAAATTGTAAACAGTGCTGTCCACAGTTTTAAGCACATTTTAAATTGACAGCCGCGCCGCATCGCCTGCCGCGCAGCGTATTCCATGTGCGCTGGAATCCCAATGAAAAATTCATTGTGGAGAGTCGCGAAAGCCCGGCCATTAACTCATCCAAGCTGGCGCCGCATCCGCGCCTAAAGGTGTCCAAGAACACCAAACTGACGCTCAGTCCGAAATTGTATCTTTGCCACGACAAATACTCGGCCGAATGCCACAACAAGACCGCCTCCTTCCGGCGCCGCATTGTGCAATCCTTTGAGCGCTCGATGAGCGAGGCGCTCAACGAGTCCAATCACTACAACGTCGACTATAAGCCCGTCTTTGGGGACAGTTTCGAGGAGCAGTATTATCCCTCCAGCTGCCTGGTAATGGAGGCGGGTGTGCGCGTCCTGCGCCGCAAGGATGCGCCGTTCAATAAGCTGCCCTTCGGTCGCCTCTTTCCGCGCCAGAAACTCTTTCGCAACGTGAAGAGCGTCAAGACCTGTGCGATTGTCTCCAGCGCCGGTTCGCTGGCGGGCTCCAAGCTGGGACGCTTCATAGGTGAGTGTGGATCAGCTGGTGAGCCTAACGCGGATTGATGCCACTTGTTTCGCCAGATAACCACGACATCGTCATGAGATTCAATCACGCGCCGACCCACGGACACGAAGTGGATGTGGGCAGCAAGACCACAATACGTGTCGTCAATTCCCAAGTAGGTGGCCAAGCGGCGCTTCATTTGCATCCATCAATCATTGTCAATCATTTGGTTTAAGGTGGTGACCAAGCCGGAGTTTGATTTTGCGCATGCGCCGATCTTTAGGAACGTTACGATTGCCGCCTGGGATCCGGGACGTTACAATGGCACCCTCGAGGATTGGCTGACCACCGCCGATTACGATTTGTTCACCAACTACGAGATCTACAGGCGCCGTTATCCCAAATCACGCGCCTTTCTCATCGATCCGCATTCGGTGTGGCGCCTGTGGCAAAGCCTGCAAATGTTTGCCGGCAATCGATCCATACGACGTAATCCACCCAGTTCCGGTTTTATAGGTGAGGACTCGGAATGGAGATCTTGAAAAACAGCACATGAAAACTTTTGTGTGTAACCGAAGAAAATGTATATAAAAAATCCTTCAAAACGGCCTCTTCCCAGCTGGTTCAATACCATTTTTGACCACATCGATGCCATTGCTGACGAGTTCCCGAGCGAGCAAAAATTTATAACCGAGTGTTTCTAGATGACCTTAATATCCTTGGTTATTCCATACCATAGATATAGTCCTAGCGAACCTACAATTCCAAATCCATGCGAAATTCACATGAAAAGTTTCTACAGATATGTATTATTTGTCTTTCAGCCACCCCTCCTCCCACTATGGTTCCTAGATGACCCATTATCATTGATTTTACCGTACAATTGATATAGTCCTGGTGAACCTACAATTCCCAATCCCAGCATAATACGCTTAAAAGCTTTATCCACAATTAAATTAAGGTGTACAATTTAACGGTGGCAAAATTCCACTTCACTGGGGGTGGCCGTTGGCTCACATTTTGCAAATCAAAATTCAGCTGAAATACCAGGCGAACAGAAATGCCCAGCAAGTAGATGCACAGAAACTTTTTGCAAAAATCATGACTTGCAGGTTTTTTAACAGACCACTGTTAAGCAGCTGTTATTTAACAGTTCGCTATTAAGTCACTGTTAATTAACATACCACTGCTAAAAGAGGGGGTTTGATTGGTAATTTGGCAAAAATACCAGGCGAACAGAAATGACCAGCAGGTAGATGCACAAAAACTTTTTGCAAAAAAGATGACTTGCAAGTTTTTTAACAGCTTACTGTTAAACAACTGTTATTTAACAGTTCTTTGTTAAGTCGCTGTTAGTTAACATACCACTGTTAACCTCTGGACGGCGGACAACGGTGGAGATATGTCGTTTTGAAACGACATAACTCCATCATGGCGAAATTATGTCGTTTTGAAACGACATATCTCCAAGCGGACGTATGGAATTTTTAGAGCGGCGGAGATTATGTCGTATTGAAACGACATATCTCCCGCGGACGTGTGAAGATTTTTTTTTGAAAACTTTAAAAGGCCATATCTCGGCCAAATAAAGCCCGATTGCGGTCAAAAAGGGAGGGGTTTCTCGCGGAGGCCCATAGAATCGAATGCCATCCACCTTTTTCGAATTCGGAAAAATGTCATTTTTCGAAAAAAAACGTGATATGCCAGTCGATAGCAGAGACCAGTACGAGTTTAAAAAGGCCTAACTTTCCAAAATCGGACCATTATTAGCCGAATTATCGCAAAAAAACGAAAAATCTTCAAAATTATAACGGCATATTTTCGCTTTTTTTAAATGGCCGTATCTTGGCTAAATAAAGTCCGATCTTGAAAAGATTGGTCACGTTCGACTCGTGATCAAGGCCACTTTAAACTAGGAACTAGGATATATGCAAAAAAAACTGTATTTTTGGTCATTTTGGGTAATCTCTTAGAATGTGGATTTTTGGGTAGCAATCGATGGTCGGGATCAGTACGAGTAGAAAGAGGTATATCATTCCTAAATCGGATTGTATTTAGCCGAGTTATTTGCATTTTAATATTCAATCAAATTTTGCTGCAATGTGTTTATTGTGAATGGTTATTTTTATGGGCGGCCCACAAGTATGCTGTAGAAAAGCTACTCTAAAAGGCTCAAGAGCATTATGCGGACAGCACGAAAGTATGCAATGATTTTTTATATGTTCACAACCCAAGCAAGATTTCTGAAAAAATTAAATGGCTATATCTCGGACAAATATAATCCGATCCCGGGCAGATTGCGACGGTTAAGTCGCGGAGGCATAGAGTAGAACCCATTTCAGAAAAAAAGTCATTTTTCCTTGCCATTTTGGTAATTTTATTGAAACACTTTTCAGCTTAAAGTACGGAATGAAATGAATGAATATAGAATTTTTATGCACAGCGTAAAAGTAATCCCTGGAACATATTAAACATATACTTATAGAATCGACTATAGCTTTTTGCTAGTATGATAAGTTGTTAAGTTTAACGATATTCCAATTGGACTGCAACCGTCAGTTGCAGGGCAATCCCAATTGGTTTGCTTCGATTTCTTGTTGCCTTACTTTTAGCTTGTTCTGCTGGATTCATCCATATTTAATTGAGCTCTATAAATGTTTATAGGCTTGGCCTTGTTGTTGCCGCACTGTCCCCAGGTGGACTTTGTGGAATATGTGCCCTCCACACGACTCAACGGACGCTGTCACTACTACAGCAAAGAGGTGGGCAGGTTGCAATTGGAGTTAATATAAACTAAATGAAATTCTATTTGCAGATGAACTCCGCCTGCACATTCGGCTCTTGGCATCCGTTAGCCGCCGAGAAGCTGATGGCGCTGGACATGAATGTGGCCGATGATATGTCCGTCTTCCAGTTCGGCATCCTGCGCATCCGGCGACCCGACAAGCTGCTCTGCGGCTTTAACTTCTTCGGTTACTGATCCCTTGATCCGCCACGCTCCCTCGGATCCGGCGTTCAGTGACAATCAACGTGCATTTAAATTTAATCAAGCGGTTTTCACACAAGTTTCAAGTAGCTAAAACAAAACAAAAATAACAAAAGGAGAGGCTGCAGTTAGTTATATGTATTTGCGATCAATAAACATGTATTTACCTATACTTGCGTGGTGGGTGTGGCACAGGCGGAAGCGGGAACAGCCTCGAGGCAGTGGCTTCTCGCCCACGCAACGCGCTCCTCAAAATGGACAATGGAGCCAGTTAAGTGCCTGTCGCACTTGATTCTGATTGTTTGTTTGTTTGTTCATTTGTTTACAGCGCCTCCAGGGAAGACACAAAAGTAACCGTGGCCAGTTCGCAGGTCACAGCGCTGCTCGACAAAGAGATACCCTGTAAAAAGTATATAAATTAGTTCAAAGTGAGTAGAGCAGAATATATGAAATATATAAAAATCTTCTGCAAGAATGGAGTAAAAGTAGGCGCAAGTGTGATCAGACTAGTAGATACCCTGTGAATAGTAGACTATGAGATACCCTACAAATGTTAAAAACACTTCATATGACTACCCCAAAAAAAGCTGAAAAATGAAAGATGGCAAACAGATGTAACAGAGCTGTGCATACCCTTTACACACATTGAGCGCAGGGTATGCCCGATGACTGCTGCATGTTTTAACCATTAAATGCCATAACTGTTGTCTACACAGCGCAACTGAGCGAAATAAATATACATATTATTGTCAAGGGGCCGCTGGGCGATACAGAAAGAAACACTTGACTTTATGGATTGAGGGCGGGGCTGGGGGCATTGCTCATTAATACGTGCTGCGGCGGCGGCAACGTGCTCCGCATTCCGATAAGCAGCAGGCGCGAAGACACCAGCCCCACAGAAAACAGACAAGAGCCAAAAAAGGTGGGGGATAACGAACAAATTATGATGGCACTTGGAGTACGCGGCGTATGCGCGATATTTGCCAGTGCAGGGCGGCAATTAAATGCAATATACGAGTATGCTACCAAAAATTCAAAAATCGACATTAAACGCGTACGCATTGAACCAGGAAACCGGCAACAGAACAAACGAAAGTTATGGGCAATAGGGCGCAGTGACACCTGAAATTCCACCTGAATTTTCAGCTGACAATTGTGCTGGTACTTTTTTATTTTTCAAAATGTTCAAATGCAAACCAAATAACAAATAACAACAAATCGAGATATTTTGTTTGGGTGTCAGGTGAAATTTGACAGGTGTGCTTAGCCTGCAGGTGTGCGGGAGGGGGGGGGGGGGTCCGGGGGGTGCTGCCAAAAAGTTCATCTAACCCGAATTGAAACAAGAGAGGGGCAAAAAGCAATTGCAGCTCGCAATTCATATTTGCATTTTCAACAACCATTTACGGCTTTTGTTTGACCAATGCAAATACGCGACGCATGTGGCACATGTGCTTGCACCCCCCTCCCTCTCCCCTTCTCCCACTCACCCTCTCCTCTCCTCTGTTATGCCACATTTGTGCTTTTGTTTATATTTCATGGATTCGCGCGGCGTGATTCAAGTCCACGCTTAGCCAAAAAATTTCGTTCATTGCCCGCCGAACGTGATTGTACTGCTCAACAACAACAACAACAACAACAACAACAACAACAACAAAAACAACACAACTGCCATCCAAAATTATTAATTGTATATTTATAAGGCCATAAAGCCGGACTCAACAGTCTGAAGACTCATGCTCTAGCCCAAAACATTCCCCATTTTATAAAGCGATAGCCCAGGAATATTAATGTATTAACTGTCCGGTGCAGATATCCTGGCATATCCTTAAGCCTGACAAAATATATATATTCAATACATAGAATAGATCATATAGATCTTGACCAGCTGCAACAGTTGCTGCTTAAACGCAGAATCCTTTATTGACTGGGTTTATTCGTATATTCTCTTCTGGCTTGAAGGTAAGATCTTGTATTGCGAACTCCCAAAGGATCCTACAAAATATTTGTCAAATCTAGAGAAACTTTTGGCATAGAGCATATTTGAAGTCGGAGCTGCAAGGGCTTCATATTTTGCAATAAGTGGAAGAAAGCAGCATCAATTGATATGGTTAAACCATTGACGTGAATGTCAAAGTTTGAACTGTCTAAGGCCAAACGTTAGATGTAATCCTTAGAAGTCATTAGAGATATGAAACTCCAAAATCGAATACCATTTGCCCGAGATATGCGAGCTAGAACTAGAGTAAATAGTCCATTTCGAACTGCACAAAAAATACAGGGAAAATCTCTTCGAGTAGTATAAAATTACCCAATATATTAGCTACGCCGACTTGATTAATGGGTAAACACGAATTGCTTTTAGATTTTCAACAAACTATTAAGTTGTAAACTAACGAGTATGTAAATGAAAGAGAATCAATGCGAAACAATGCGAGACATTGTCGAGGCGCATATGAAACCTGGCTAATTGGCCAAGATCGTGTCGTGCTCTTATCACAAATCAATGAGGGGGCAGGGGGGGGGGGGGAGTAAAGTGTGTGAATAATTAAACGGATATGCGGATATACTCATTAAATAGTCATAAGCCCAGACATATCTGCAGCAGATGCATTCTGATTTCTGAGCTCGAAATCGGAATCAGTTCGGGCTGGAAAATAGTTGGAAGCCAGGCTCGGATCAGGCCACGTGATCGGAGAGCCAAAATGTGTTGAGTGCATTCGAATTTTGATGTTGAATGCATATTGAATTTGTCGAGTCGATTTCTATATGCAATTGATGTTAAATGACAGCTCTGGTCGTCGCGGAGGGTCAACATATTGACAACGACTTGAGATTCGCGTCTGGTTTTAATAAGTTGTTCGCTGTCAAGTGCTTTTGGCTGCGCTTCAATGTTGCGCTAATTGGAAACAGACTCAAGCACAAACTGTCTGACCCGCCCCCTGATCCCCTCTCTCCTCCCGGTCTCTGTCCAGCTGCCAATCAGGCATCGAGTCATCCGTTCGCCAAGAACTGATCCGTCGCATCAAGAGCAGCAGCAGCTGCTACGCTTCGCTTGATTGAAAATCCAGCGATTCGCATTAAAAATTGAGTTATCCAATTTCCCCAGCCCAAATAAAAAGTTTGTTTATTCAGATGTCGTCTGGTTTGTTGTTTTTTTTTTTTTTTTTTTGGGCGAAAGCATTACTCAAGACATTTCTGGGAATGTTAGGCTAGTCACTTGCCACATGAATTATATGTGCTTCATATTAATATGGGCTCCGTCTGGGCCGTTGTCATAAGCAAATGTTGTTATCCCATGATGCATCTGGGCGTGTCCTACGACCACAACACGTACCAGAGGAGCCAACCGCCAGAGCTAGAGCCAGAGCCCGGCGAGACACCAGACAAAGGTGGCTCAGACACGCAGCCGAGCCAGAGAGCCAAGGTTATAAGGCAGACACCCTTTCATTAAGCTTCAATTGCGCTTCAATTCAAGGTCAAGTTCCAGGCGTAACGGTAAATAAATGATTCACATTTCATATTCATTTATTCACAATCTTGAAACGAAAGCATGCTTGGGAGTACGCAGAATTCGCAGTGAAAAGAAGTTGACAAGAATTATCTGTGACTTTTATAAGATTGCCAACAAAAGTTGTTGAAAGAAAAAGAATACCCAGTAAATTATTTTGAGACGTGAAATTGGAGGAGTTAGCGGAGGTTTCATCAAATCGATTTTAATGTTAGCCTCAACAGTCGAATAAAGTTGTTTCCATAATAGCAATAAAATTGAACAAAAGCACAAAAAGCTCAAGTGAATCGTTAAATAATGATAAATCCTGCGTGAAAACATGAATTGTACGCCTAAAAGTATGCCAAGTAATGCCAGGGAAATGATTTAAATAAAGGGAATTGATTCTTAAGGACCGTAAAGAACTCCCACACGCACTTAAGCACAATAATAAACAGTTATAATAAAGGTGTCAAGCGAGATTGACTCACACGAGAATCGATCGAAGAATACCTCTTAGAAACCATAGCGTATATATGGGGAGTGCCCGGCTGGCCATTTGATTTGTCCGTTGACTTCCTGGCTGGGCTGGGTTATTCATTGCAACTAAAATGCTTGGTTTATGCCGCATTTGTTTGATTCCAATATTGTATTATATCTTAAATAAATAAATGCTTTACAAAGGAGCCATTAAATGAGAAGAATAAGCAGCAGCAGGGTGACGAAGAAGAAGAAGAAGCAGCAGCAGCAGCAGCTGAAGAAAAGTGGCATTCCTGCACGTTTGACTGTGTATAAATCAAAACATAAGAACAATATAAAATGAAATTTAGCAGCGACAACAAAAACAACATTTGAGACTTTGAAACGGCGCGCATATCAAATGATTCAGCTCATGAACTTCAGACAGAGCCACAGAGATAAAGAGCGAGAGGAAGAGAACGAGAGAGAGAGAGAGAGGGAGGCAGATAGTGAATGAAGATTTCCAATGACCAATGCGTTGCGGTTTTGATACCGTTTTGATCAGCAGGAATCCAGCTCCAGTTCTTATCGAAAGTGCGTCACAAATGAACAAAAATGACTCACTGCAGCGCCGCCTTAAAAGCTGCAACAAATGGGGCGTGGCAGGAGTGAGAGGCTGTCTAAAGAGGAGGCTGCAGCAGAACTAAGGCTAAGCGCTATTGTTTTAGCTTTGAGCTTGAGCCTTGTTGTTGTAGTTGTAGTTGTTGTTGTTGCTTTGCATACTTCCCAAAACAAATGAGGAAGAGGCAAACACACTACATTGAGGCATCCGTCTGACAGGGAAGGACGTCGACATCGACTGCGCCGCCGGCAGAGACGTCGGCGTTGACAGACTGATCCGATTGGATCGTCGTCTTTATTGTTGCTGTTGCTGCTGCTGCTGCTGTTGTTGTTGTAACGCACCCCTTGATCCGGGCCATATAAAAGTATCTAAGCGCAGCGGCGTCGGCTTCAGTCTAGTTGCAAACTCGTGAAACTGAAACTGAAATTGAAACCCGACACTTTTT